TTTAAAGCTGCTGCATAATTCAGTGCGGTTCTACTACGTACGCTTTAGGTGCCTCCCTACATAATTTAGACCCGGAGTGGAAGGCGTCTCGGCAATGATTATTTTCCATGCTGCATCAAGATAACGTATATTAGCAAGTCTGTCGGTTCAGCTTATCTTCACCCGCCCGGCTTGGGGAAGTGTTACCTGCAAGATGGCTCCAGCATATTAGCAGAGTGTTCGCATTTCCCGTGCCTACAGAAGCCGCTAAAATGTTCTGGACAAGGAGTGTAGATCCCCCGGGCGCTCTCCTCCAATTTGTTCGCGTTCTCTGGAAGGAAAGGTGAAAAGAAAGTCAGCATGCAAATGTTTCACAAGGTGAAGAAAGGGGAAAACAAATATACACACACAGAGAATAAGCTCCTGCCTTATCACTCCGGTGGACTCTGTGTTAGGGGTGCCAGTCTCCAGGTGGGACCTGAGGATTCCCCCTGAATTACAGCTCATCTCCAGATGACAGAGATCAGTTCCCCCTGCAAAAATGGACGCTTTGGAGGGTGGACTCTGTGGCATTGCGCCCCACGGAGGTCCCTGTCCTCCCCAGGCTCCACCTCGAAATCTCCAGATGTTTTCCAACCCAGAGCTGGAAACCTTGGCTGGTACTAGGGTTGCCAGGTCCCCCGGGGGTGGGGGGTTTGCCCGCTCGATGGGCCCCTTACCCAAAAACTGGAATCAAGCACCATAAGGGTGAGAAAGAAGCCTGCGAAAGGGCCAGTATTCAAAACCTAGTTGAAACTTATAATATACGAAAATACATGCATTTATTAGACAATTCAAAACATATACGGGCCCAATGAAAGCCTCATTGAAATGTCCAAGTGGCCTGAACACCAGGGCCAATACACACGACCAGACGTGCTTCCGCCCTATCGGGGCCTTCTTCAGAAGTCAAACAGTATTGAGGTACACATAACAATATGATAACCAATAAGTGAATACTGGACCAAGACGAAGAAGATTGGATTTATACCCCGCCCTTCACTACCCAAAGGTGTCTCTGAGCGGCTTACAAACTCCTCTCCCTTCCCCTCCCCACAACAGACACCCTGTGAGGTCGGTGGGGCTGAGAGAGCTCTGACAGAAGCTGCTCTTTTTCAAGGACAGCTCTTGTCAGAACTACGGCTTGCCCAAGGTCATCCAGCAGCTGCAAGTGGAGGAGTGGGGCATCAAACCCGGTTTTCCCAGATTAGAGTCCACGCTCCTAACCACGACACCAAGCTGGAAGAGTCTGGGGAGGGAAGGATGTTCAACAGGCATATAAGACCAAAGCGGCCGTTTCATCCAGGGGATACAAGATGAAAGGCAGTGGCGCAGCAATATATGAAAACAAGGGGAGGGGAAAGGCACGTGCCCAAATTTTAACACCAATGATCAATGCATTTAATAATAGTAAGACATAGAAAGTACTCAGAACGAATTTCCCACAAACAACAGGTAGAAATTCACTGGTGAAGTTGATCACAGGTAGAAATTCACAGGTGGAGTTTTCCCACAAACCATTTGTAATATATTCAAAAAGGTCCTTGATCTGTAAGGATGTCGTCGTGTCTCTGCCAGTTGACTCCCCGGTTCTAAATCCGTTTCAATAACCCCCCCCCCACGAATCGTGCTGGATTGTTCCCTCTAAGTTGTGGAGTTTGTGAGCAAAAATTCTACTTTGTGAGCTGCTGGCATTAAAGTGGTGAGCGAGCGAGCGATTTGGCTGCTGCATAAATTAGTTTGCTCTGGAGCCCTCCTTCCTGAGCTAGGACAAAAATGTGTGAGCTGGAGGCTAAAAAACCATGAGCTGGCTCACACTAACTCAGCTTAGAGGGAACACGTCCATAAAGCATATTCAAATGCAGCAATCCTCAGTGATCCCTTCATAAGTACAATAACATAACTGTAACGTATTGAAGTGGCTTACATGAATCACCGCATTCACCTCCTATGTTACGCTTCGAGCCCGACGAAGGCTCCTTCACACTCACACGCTATTGGTTGCTCCACAACAGCGACCAATCAGAGAAGGACTAAGTCCCCGAGCAGGAAGAACTCTCATTGGTCCTTATCCGCACAACCTCATTGGTTGTTAATTGTAAATAGGCGTGGCTATATTAGCCTGGGAGCGTTTAAAAGGAGCCTAGCTCCCAATGTTAAACTGTTCTGGTTATGAATGCGTTTAAGTGCTTTTTCGTTACTTCAATAAAGCTGATTCACTTTGCTGAAATCACTCTCCGGATCTTTGTTAGCAGCGATCTAACAATAATACCATCAGCATACCAGTAACCAGTGTTTTCTCTAAGCTGAGTTAGTGTGAGCTAGCTCACAGTTTTCTAGACTCCGGCTCACACATTTTTGTCTTAGCTCAGGGAGGATGGCTCCAGAGCAAACTAATCTGTGCAAGAACCAAATCGCTCACTCACATATTTTCATGCCAGGAGCTCACAAAGTAGAATTTTAGCTCACAAGACTCCACAGCTTAGAGGGAGCGGTTGCAAGTAACTGCACTCATGACATTGTAAGCAAAATTCAATATAAAAAATGTCAATAGTGGTCACACAAATAACTCTTACCCAATGCAGAAGCGATCCTTCCTTAGAATAACTCTTACCCAAGGCAGAATTTATCATTTCTTGATCTCCACCCCTCACTTGGAAGTTGGCAACCCTCAGTGTTCGGCGACCCTTCTGGCAATGCCAGTGTAATTGCTGGCCCGAATAAAAGACATTGCTCTGCTGTTGGTTTTGGAGTTCTGGCTCACAGACCAACACAGCTGTCTGCGATGTTTACTTCCAAGAAGCGCGTGATGCTGGCATGAATCTCTGTAACTGGGCTATGCAACAAAATGATAACCAGCCAACGCTAGACGCTACACCCCTGGAGGTGACAGACTGCCACACAGAAGTCATTTTTATGGGCTCTGCACGGTGTCGGTAACTTGTGATCTAGTTCTGCGATGCCTTGCATTTTCAGCTTCAGTGCAGTGGTTAGGAGCGCGGTCTCTAGGACAGCCAGTTTGGTGTCGTGAATAGGAGCACGGACGCTAATCTGGGAGAACTGGGTTTGATTCCCCACGCCCCCACATGCAGCTGCTGGTGTGACCTTGGGTCAGTCACAAGTTTTTCCCAGAGCTGTTCTCTCAAGAGCTGTTTTCAAAAAAGCTCTCTCAGCCCCACTGGGTGTCACAGGGTGTCTGTTGTGGGGAGGGGAAGGGAAAAGAGATTGCAAGCCGCTCTGAGACTCCTTTGGGTAGTGAAGGGCAGGGTATAAATCCAATCTCCTCCTCCTCTACAAAGATTGTGGGGGAGGGAGCTGAATCATAGAATCATAGAACGTTCGAGTTGGAAGGGACCTTGCAGGTCATCTAGTCCAACCCCCTGCACTCTGCAGAAGCATAGCCGAAAGAGAGCCCTACAACATACCCGAAAGATGGTTGTCCAGCCTCCGCTTGAAAACGTCCAATGAAGGAGCCTCCACAACCTCCCAAGGCAGTCTGTTCCACTGCTCAACCACTCTTACAGTTAGGGAGTTTCTCCTGATATTTAGCCGGTATTGACTCCCTTGTAATTTCCACCCATTAGATCTAGTCTTGCAATCCGGAGCAAGAGAGAATAGATCTGCTTCATCTTCTACATGACAGCCCTTCAAATACTTGAAGACTGCAATCCTGTCCCCTCTAAGCCTTCTCTTTCCCAGGCTAAAGATACCCAACTCTTTCAGCCTCTCCTCATAAGGCTTGGCTTCCAACCCTCTCACCATCCCGGATGCCCTCTTCTGGACACGCTCGAGCTTGTCAACATCCTTCCTAAAATGTGGTGCCCAAAACTGGACACAGGTCTCCAGGTGAGGCCTGACCATAGCAGAATAGAGTGGAAAGGTAACCCTAGCCTCCACCCAAAGGAAATTGTAAAACCTTAAGCAGATAGGGTTAGGAAAAATGTTCTAGCCCTTGAGAAGTACATTTTAGTACTGATGTCTGTGAGGCCCAGGAATGAAACAGTCAGTAACTGAGCTGTGGCTCAAGTGGTTAAGATGCTGAACTGCAGGCTGTGGAAGGCCGGTAGTTCAGCAGTTCGAGACCCGAGTGTGCCGCATGACGAAGTGAGCTCCAATCTCTAGTTCCAGCTCCTGCCAAACTAGCAGTTCGAAAGCAAGAAATTATAAGTAGATAAAGAGGTACCACTTCTGTGGGAAGGGAACAGCTGCGCTGGCGCAATCACATGGACAGAATCCACCAGCAGCCCGTGGCAAACCATTTGCCAGTACTTCTGTGCAGGTATTTTTTAACCGTGCATTTTCGCGTTGGCCACGGGTGTGCTATGCCTGCCAGATGTTGCGGTGTGATCATACCCGGAAAATCCGCCCGACATTCATGGCTCTCACGCAGCAAATTCGGCGTGTGAATGGGGCCAAAATATTGCAAAAGTGCTGTTTCAGGCATGTTCCTATTTTAAGTTAAAAAAAAACCCTTTGTGTTTGCATTCTTTATAAAGTTTATATCTCTGCTACCTGGCATTACATTTTATGACGCACGTGGCCCGACAAGGTCTCGTTTATGTCTGATCCGGCCCTCATAACAAATGAGCTCGACACCCCTGCAGTAAAGCTTTGTACCAGATTATTTCAGTGAGAATTGCCTCTTTGTACACCAAACCGTGTACCAGGGCTCCACCAATCCGCTTCCTTCCCTTCCTGGTCACATGTCCCCTTTGGCTATGCTGCTTTTTTCTCAGGGAAACAACGCCTGTCCTAATCTCAAACTCTGTTTACCACAAAGAAGTGTTACCAGCGAGAATTAATATCTGTATAATTTTAATCTGCTTCATCTGCCGTAAAGTTCCTGCTTTCTTTAAAAACGAAAAGAAAAAAACGGGCTTCAGTTTGAATTATTAAATGCGATATTGTTTTCACGGTGACTTCACGATCTGCGCGGAGACGCTGCTGGACCACGGGGAGGGATCAAAACTTCAAATGACACACATAGAACCAACGCTTCAGGCCATATATCGCTCTAAAGCAGGGAAGAGAAGGACGGCATTCTTTAGCCCTGATCGGGGAACGTCAAAGGACGCGGCGTTGACCCAGATGATCTCATTTAGTCCCGTGGGGCACAGCAATATTTCTGCTTTAACTACCGCTAGCCTGAGGGCTCGGTGATTTGGAGCAAACATTGACCAAAACAACTCATAAAGATGAGCACAGTCCCAGGGACTCGGACTGGCACATTAGTTCAGATCAGTCATTCAAAAACGGCACATGTGATCTGGCAAAGCAGCATCTTGGACCGTA